GGTCTTTCATTGGCTGTAGCTCATCGCCGATGTAGTTTTCAGTCAGAAACCATTGCACACAGCGAGATTGTGAATCGCCGACAGCTCTAGATATTTAGCATGCCAAATATTTCACGGGCGTTGGCGATGCATCGGCGATTCCCTCAGATCCGTCTTTGATAATTCACACTGCGTGATTGTCACTCGTGTGAACGAGCACCGATTTTCCTCAGATTTCGGGCATTTGTCGGCGATTTCGCAAAACCTGTCGGCGAGTGAAAAATCGGGCTAAAATCGTGCAGTGTGAACTCGGCATTAAAGATTCGCTATTAGTAGACGCTGCGGCTGAACACTGCTGAGAGATGCACAGACGCAGATATTTGCACGCGCTTAATCTCTCTCTCTCTCTAAGTGCGTTAGACTGCATTAATAACTGCATTCGCCTGCATATCAATGTCTCAAGCCTCTGTTATTAGCTCTAAAATTACATTTTGGAATTTGCAATGGAAGGTTAAGAGGTGCGTAAAAAATTAGTTCAACACACACGAAATTTCAGAACGGAAACATGACAAATGTCTTGAAATAAATCATCTTAACAATGTCTTGATGTGTGGTTGTGACTCCAGGTCGTTAAAATTATTAGAGAGATAATGAACTCCTGAAGTGGTTATGTGGGCAGACTGGCCACGACGCTGCGCCTATTAATGGAATGGTCTTTCTCAGTTCTCAAACAAATTAAGAACTACTTTTGATTTTTATTGATTGAACGCAAGCGCTTATTGCGATAGAAAACACTGTAACGGTTTCCACTGATTAAGAAATATTTTTGTTTGCTTGGGTGGTAGCTAATGTCAGGCCTATTATATTAATAGGGAAGGGGGGGCCCAAAAAATAGTTTTGCCTATGTCACGAAAAGAGGTAAATCCGGCCCTGGTTACCAAACTACAATTTCATGAGGGTTTCGTTTCTGTCATCAACGTCAGTCATGGAGGATAGCCTTCAGGCGGAGAGAGCCACGTTTGGGCATGTTTCCGCTCACGGCTCCCTCGTCACATTTACGCACGTCTAAAACAAACGGAGAGGGGCAGATTTGAAGGGTCTGGAGGACTATAAATCTCTGAGGCTGCTCTTTCAGTCACAACTTTCCACAAACAGGTAATGAACAACACTTGTTCATATTGTATATAGTAAGACCGAGCACAGCATGGCAGCACTGCATATGAACATGACGGTAACGCGCACCATCAGTGCTGGAAACTGCACGAGGACGAGTGCCGACAGCCAGTCAGAAAGCGCGGGATTCCCGTTCGCGCGCAGGCACAGTTCCGCGGGAATACTCGCGCTCAAATGGGCCACCGCGAGAAGTTGTTCTTTCGGAAGTTCGCTGGGGTCGGAAAACCGCGGGAGTAAAGACAGTATACGAAGTATAGTCGTGACACCGGACAGCATCCCACAATTCACCATTCCAAAACTCACCCTGGAGGATGGCTATAGATCCAGAGTGAATGAGAAAGAACAACAAGCTGAAGAAGATGAGGACTGGGGGAGCATTGACGACATTAGCGGTTCCTATCATCCCAGGCTTTCTCTTTCATCATCGGTGTCATCATCATCATCTTCCTCGGGGTTCAGCGCATCTCCTGTACCTGGAAGAAAAGCCATTTCGGACATCAAACGGGCTCAAACTCAGAGAGACTGTTCTTTCTCTAGTCCTCTGGTGGAGGCTGAACATTGCTCTGACTCTGCCAGTCGAGCGGCTCTTTCTTTACCTCACCTTCCCAAGGTCACCACCCCATACGGCTTCGTAACTTTAAGCAAAAGCCCACAAATGGCCAACGAAGAGGCGCTCTTCTTCCAGGGCCATAGGCGTTGGGGTCATGATGAAGAGATAAACCCATCCAGACACCCTAAGCTGGAAATGAAAAGAAGCGTCATTGTCAGAACATCACCCATCCAGACACATGGCAGCACCCTTCTACATGAGTCTCCAATCACTCATCGTTTCTTTAGAAGCCACAGCGTTACTGGAATCGAGATCCAGAAGCAACTGGCTAAGAGCAATGAGTCAGTGAAACAAGTCAGCAAAAGCAAGCGAAGCCTTTGGGGAATTCTTCGCAAAGCAGACAGAAAGTCTTTCGATTTCAATTCAAACCTCAAATGAACAAACTCAGAGCAGTGTTGCTCAATAACATGACAATCAAGCACCTTCTATTATAAAAATCACAAGTTTTTGATGCTGTCTGTTTTGTTGTGTGAGAATTTCTTTATTTTATGCATTCATTTCTCATGTCCAAATGTTCAGATTAGTAGTTATACATGTTATCCATGACTTTATGAAGAAAATAAACATACAAATTGTTTCAAAAGCCTCAGTCTTCTGATCAGTGACCCTAAAAGGCCTGTAAACACAAACACATTTTAAACAAAACATTTTATGGACATATGTTTCTTCGGTTTCAAACCATACTGAAAATTAGTTTTTTTAATGAATACACTAAAAATCTATTTGAATCCAGTTGGTAAAAGCAAAAAAAAAAAAAGTGAAATGTGAAATTATTTCAGAGAAAAATATACGATACTTTTTTTGCAAATGCCATTTGGTTTTATTTATTTATTTTTAACTACTATCCACTTGCCAACCTTACCATGAATATGGTGTAATGAGATTCTATTTAGGTTCAAGTGGGTTCCTAAGACAGTTTGAAGTTTGTCAGCGTTGACTGACTGCATTACAAGGCTGCTGACGTAAATCCGTGGTCAAATCTGTGCGTAAGGAAGCCCCAGCACTCAGGACCACAGCATGTGAAGAGCATATGAGCTTAATGATGGTCCACTTCAGGGTCTCTTCAGTGCTTGCTTTGTTATTGTCCCCTCCTCACCCTCGCACTCTTTCCTTGTTTCTCTTTCATTTTGATGAGGGCTTTTTCCCTCCACTCATGTCTTAAATTAGAACTGTGCAATTCATCTTTTGATCTGCACTTCATGAACACAATGGACTTGTAAGAAATGCACTCGATTTGCGCATCAGAACATGCAAATCCTAAATCTGGATTCTATTAAACTCTTTATGACAGCTTAAGCAGAGTAGACTGATCTGCAACAGTTGCCTTGTCCAAAATATAATTTATAATAGAACACAAAAGTTCTGAATGAATATTTGTTTTGAAGTTTCAATGCATAAATTACATTGAACCCAAGTTTACATTATGCTATTGCTTGATAAAGTTGAGTGTATTATAATTTATATTTTCTATGCATTCATAGTTTAGAATGATTACTATTATGGCGAATAATGGCTGTTTTGTGGGAGCAAAAAATACTGGACTCTGGAATAAACATCCGAAAATTTCACCTTTTTACTTTACAAATTGCTGTTTGCACCATAGATTTAATCATTTTATCAGCTGTGCTTGTTGTTTTATTGCAGCTTGTATTTCATAACTGTTTTCACCTTTTAAGGAAATTTATAAAATCTGTTTAGTCATAGATCTTCTATGGGTGTTTTCAATTACTCTGAAGCAGATCGAGCTATACAATGAGAACAAAAGACCCAAATAAGCCCGACTCACTCTTACCCTCCAGTCAAAAGAGCCACATCTGAAGACAGATTGTTCACAGAGCTCAGTTCGAATGGAGGCTTTATATAGGAAGCTTTTTAAATTCAGTCTGACAGCACTTTTTGTATATTTGTTATTTTTGCTGAACGATCTAGCGCCACCTAAAGGTGTATTTAATACATTGTTTTTACTATGTTGTATTTTGAAATTTAGAAGTAGCACATCTGAACATAAAAAGATATGGGATAGGTTGGATGCAATCCCAATATTTAATAATAATAATAATAATAAATGTTCAGCTCAGTATAAGGCCATCTTATGCTTGCATTTAGTGCACAGGGTAAGCCTATAGACATACGCAGATGGTGTAATTACAGAATCTTCCAACAGGGGCTATTAAGGTCATGCTAGGGCCTGCCTGTACAAAATATTCAATTGCATATGACCCAACTACACTTCACACATCCTCATTATTCACCATGTAAAAGTAAAAGAAAAATGGACTAATAGGCTCACTTAAACTGACATACCACTTGGTTCTACCTTCTGGGTTGAGGTTTGGTTCCTCCTAAGGTTTTATTCTTAGACTTGGGGAGGTTTTTGTTCCTGCTAGTGCCACTCTGTAAGGCTCCTATGGGATATTGTGCATTGTTAAAGTGCTGTGTAAATGGTGCAGTTCAATTAAACTGAATAATCTGAAATTCAGTTTAACTGAACTGAATTAAATCTTAATTGGGTCTTTTGAGCCACACAAGGTCTCATATGTGAAGTTGCTTATTGTGTATAAATAGAAAAAACAGCATCCTCTAGTGTTTGAAAAATGACAATGCTGGGGGGGACATATCTACTCCAATCACCGGTATCTTGCAAAGTGTTTATCTCCAAGCACTTTCCAACTCAATTTGGCAAGGAGTTTGTGACTGGTGCACTTTAAGATGCTTAGTTTTCATGTTCTGTAGAAAACACAGATATAAAATATAAAAATAATAAAATGCTCAGTAAGAAAAACCCTTAGATTCATGTTTAACACAAATTTAGCCCAGTATATGAGCACAATGCATATTAGCATGTCATCCAGTGACAGTAAGAACTGGTTCCTTATTTCAAAGTTTCCTTACAGAGAACAGATGTGCACAAAACGCGCTCAGCTTTTCCGCTACCAACCTCAGATGCTAGATATGCTGTGGCAATGTCTCAGACAGCCACAGAGAGAGAGTGAGGTACTGCATGTGTGCCAATGAACAAGAAGAAAACTACAGGAACTGACAGTTGGAGGAGTGTGAACCATATTCACGAACACTCACACTTTCACACGCTAAACTACAATGCATCAAGCAACAGACTACACTCTCCTGGGAGCATCAGGAGGGACATCACCACCTGCACTGCCCATCAAACAGCGCAGGTAAGAGATGCTAGTGTTATGACTTGACACGCATTTGAGCTGTGTTACAGGAAACCTCATACCACGAAAGTTACTCGTCGCTCAGTGTAGTGAAATATCACATAAGTGAAGCAGGTCAGGCCCAGTAACTTCATGTTGTAATGTTTCTGGATTTCTGTAATTACGTATGTGCACATTTTTAGGAGCAGGTCTTCTTCAAGCTCCATCCAGGATCTAGAGCTGAAGATGGGAGATCTACACTTGCCTGGACCTCAGACCCCAGTGTCTCCATTTAGTGAAGTATTCACTCCTACTTACTGTAATGCAGTCCACTGTCCAATACATCATCGCTATGGTGAGCACTGACAACATGTTTGTATACTTTAATACAAAAAGGTTAGTTTTGAGGAAAGTGATAAGGATCTAACTAAAATGAGAACTGGTTTCTGTAACTTTTCACATGTATAGCCTTCCTCATTTCTGGTTGTTCTTTTACACTTTATTTCTTGAATACAAAAGTATTATTGAAGGAAGTAACACCTGAAACCAATACAGTAAAGCCGCTTACAGACAACTAAACCATGTGTAGTCTGTTTTTCATGGTAATGTGGGAACTGAGACAGTTTCCACTGAATTTCATTTCATGGTTCCATAATACTTGACATGCAACAGCATTTGAGCATGTGTATTCTTTATGTCTTCCATTGCTAGATGTATATATATTTTTTTTACCTTTATCTTGTCGCTCAGAAAATCACCAGGTGAGATTCTTCTCAGATGAAATTCCTCCTCCAGTACCTAAAAAGAGTCTGACGAGAACCCTATCCCTTCCAGCGGAGACTCTGGACCCACCTTACCATGATCATACAAGAACCTGCAACTATGAAAATCCCCTATACATGATAGCACCATTCCATGACACACTTAAACTACAAGAGGAAGAGGTACAAGTGGAGGAATATCAGGGTTTGTCCATGCACAAGGTGACCTTTGATACACCAGATGAGCAACTTCAAAGTGTCTTCAGAAGCTTCCAGAGCCATGAGCAATTTCCCATGGGCATCCAAGAATGTTATCTTCAGTTTCTCAAGAACACGTTGCAGAACATTGAATCGAGCATCTTCCTAAATGAACAGGAAATGGAGATAGCAAAGACTTCTCAGCCTAATGACTTTATTTTGTGTGAGCAGCAGTGGACTGAGAGGGATGCTTTCTACTTGGTGTGTTGTCCGAAGGTTCCTGGGAGACTGTTTTCAGCAAAGGTAAGAACATCTACAGTATAATAACATAAGAGACCATCAATCTTAACTAGATGCACAAGGAATCTAGTTAGTAACTGTAGGAATCTGAATTTGTTAGTGTATATGTGGGCGATAATGCACAAGGGTTTTCAATCCAAAGCTGTAAGTAGGCCATCAATGCTTCCCAGGCAGAGACCCTGAACCACAAGCAGAATGCACACCCTTATAAGGCAGCCCTAGCTTGCTGTACAAAACCATTAAAAAAAAAACACACTTCCTTCATCATGCCAGGTGTTGAGCAACAGCATCAACAGTTTGACATGTGCTACCAAGACTTTAGAGCACATTTTTAGTCACAATGCAACAGTTTTTGTGTAAAGGACTTCAAGAATCCCATATGTTGCGCATTACTTAAATGAATAAAAGAAAATGTGTGAAAACTCAAAATGACTCCTACATTTTTTGTCAGGTTCACAGAGGGGATTCGGTATCAGACTGCACCATGTCCATGCCACATCCTAACGTTGAGCAAGGCTTGGTCCATTTTCCACAATGTACAGCTACAGATCAAACTTCCATCTCACAGCATGTTCAGACAACTCCAGAGCCGTCACATGGGGACACCACTGAAGTATGCCAACAGCAAACAGTTGCTGATCTTCTGAAGAATGGTGTTAGTGTGACTGTGGTAAGAGACTTTCCATTGGGAACACTGGAGGACTTTGTTGAGGAAGGACACTCTTTGCACTCCACCCTTCCTGAGGTTTATGAGAGGAGGCTTTGTCTTCTTGCCCTCCAGTTGGTACTAGGACTACAGCAACCGGGACGTTTTAAAGTCATTCACAGGGAACTGAAACCACAGAGTGTTACATTAGTGTGGCCTAGTATCATGCGCAAAGTGGCTGACTCTAGGGATTACCCTAGTGAGATGAAAAAGGGAAGCATGAATACAGACACTTCTACAGGTACACCCGTGATCACAGTATCCACAGAGCAAACAGACGACGAGAGGACGAAAACCTTATGGGAGAAGTGGGGCACCCCTCGTTTGGTCCTGAAGAGCCATTTTGAGGATGAAGTTTTGCAAGAAGCACCATCCCAAGAGTTCCAGTTGGGGACTTTGCTGAGGTACTGCCTACATCTCAACGACAGTTGCTCATCTGTGTGGAAGGTGCCACAAGACACTCCATACACTCCAGGTTTGCTGTGGCTGGTAACCCATCTTACATCTGAGAAACCTGAGCTACTATTAGCCGATGTGGTAGGTGTCCTCCAGGCCCTGATTTGGGGTCCTCGACAGGGACTCTTTCAGCAGAACCAAATGGAAAACTCTGTGCTTTCTAATTGGCTGTTACTTAAGCGATCTCTTTTGGTTCTCAAGCTTGCCGAAAAGGGACTCTTTCAGGATCAGCCTGGCTTGGACTGGGAAGACTATCTCTGTCTGCAATATCTATCCCTTACTGACCCAGAGACTATGCATAGCATAACTGAACGTTTGGACCTTCTTGACTTCATTACACCTGCTTAACAGATAAAAATGAAAAAAGTAATGACAGCAATTGTGAGTTAGTGAGCCTCAGATATAACTAATCTATACTTCATAATATAGCTATATGATCTAAATGAAGTTTTACAAACCTAAGAACAGATCACCTTGTCCCATATTTGTAATTCATATTCATGAACTGCTGGATACTTCAGGGGCCCTGCACAACATGCAGAAAAATCTAGATAGCATGGCCACAAATTAAGAATTTGTCCCTTATTTTAATTGAATTGGGGACATAATTATTTTGTTCCCTCAATTTTTGGTAAACCATTGCCATGTTATACTGATTTTGTTTTAATTCAGGTAAAGAAATCATTGCTAAAATTTAAAGGAAGAAATTCTTTGTGGCCACGATGCCTTTGTTGTTGTTGTGTGCGAGGTCCATACATATGCATCAGTACTCTTTCTATTTTCCCCATAATACTTCTTGCTATTAAGTTAACATGTAAAACACTTGTTACAAACACCGCTTTATCATATTCAGAAAGGTCAGGTTACTCCCATTTACAGTAAAAGCCTATGTAATATAAACTATTATCGCAAAATCAGCTTATTGTTGGACTTTGACCTTGTGGCGTTTACTTATTAAAATTACCTGAAAAAAAAAAAAAAGAGCATTAGGAAACATTCAACAGGGTTAGAGCAATAAAGTGTTCTGAAAACCCAGTAAGGAATGGTCTAAATTTACATTATGCATGTATAAATGAAAAGAGGTAACAAAACGAAGGTAGTGGTATAGGGTGAGCATTTTTATTCTGCACACTGTTTAACATGCAGACAGATCCTATTGAAGTCATAACTAAAAACTCCAATTCATGCACACATTAAGAAAACAACTTGAAGACAACTGTAAAAAGAAAACAATGAAAACAGTGATTCTACAAACATTGTTGCTTGAGGGATCTCTTAACTATAAATATTATGCACTAAAAATGATCTGTGTGGGAATGGGTTAAGGGGAATCAGCAAAGAATCCAATTACACTGGAAGTTAAGCCCAGTGGTAATGGCTTAAAAACTAATGGTCACTGTGGAAATTTGGTTTACACTAGTGCAAATACGACTGGAAAAAAAAAAAAAACCCCAGCACAACCCTTACAAGAACTACAGCGTAGTAATTAACAGGGGGAAAAAAAACAAAATCTAATTTGACATTCATACTGTTTCTTTTAATGGTGACCATGTTTAGTGAGATGCAGCATAATAATTAGAAGCAAGATGTGATTGAAAAGCTTTATTCGTCACTGTCGGAGTCTCTTTCGATGGTGTAAGCCATGAAGAAAGCGTCGGGGCGGGTTGGGACGAGGGGATGACCCGGTCTCACAATCTCAAAGCCCATGAAACTGAACGTCCGCAGCAGCGATGCTGGAGACGGAAGCAGAAAGGGGGTTAAAAACAGGCCAAAATAACTTCAAACAAAATCATGAATACAGGAAGAAAAAAAAAAAGACACAAGCCTTACCTCGGTCATCTCGGCTCTTATGGAAGCAGATGAAAACGTGATCAACCTGTAACTTCTCCTCTGCAAACTCCAGCAAGAGTGAAAAACTGTTGCAAAAAGGGACAATCAGTTTAAGCCACACAACATTTTCAGCTGGGAGAAAATAAAATCGTAAGAATGTTAATTTTACTAACCTATCTTTGCTCCCTTCCGGGAGGACACCAGTGGGGATTTCGATGTAAAGGTTTGCCCCTTTCAGTGCCCCCCTCCAAACTAAGTGCTTGCTCACAGAGCAGTGCCGCTCAAAGAGCAAAAAACGTACACGGCTGTTCAACTGAGGGGCTTCCTCAAGAACCAGTAACTGAGCATCCTACAAAGATCACATAAGTACAGTTATAATATGCATGCACTCATGGACAATGACTGCTCTACAACCATTTAACAAACTGTAGCACTGGATGAGACATGTAAAGGGTTAGTTCACCTTCAGCTGCTGGTCCCCATTGACTTGCAGTGTTTTTTTTTCTTTTCTCCACACTATGGAAATCAATGGGGACCAAGGGGCATATTACAGAAACTTCCCATCTTAGGTCTTAACTGAAGATGTGAATTTATTACCGAAGCAAATCTTAACTTGATTTAGGATTCTTATCTTATCAAATCTTAGGTCTAGTTAGGAAACCGCTTGATCAATCAACTGTCAGGTCTGTTACCAAGCAACCAACTATGCGCAAGCGGCTGCTGAGGTAAACAAAATCAAAATGGAAAAACAACAGCATGCTTTTAACTTGCAGAATGACCGGTAGTGGTCCGTGACCGCTCATGGGCCTCTGTAATGTTGGTTGAAATTGGTCAACTAGCCTATATATACACACACACTGTATATAGGCTCTGTTTATATAATTTTTATAGGGTTATATGTTATATGCAGGGGCTGTCTGTTTACTTAATTAACAGATATGGGTGTCGTGCCATAACATTTTTAATACGACCGAGTTTATATTTAATGTGAATTTAACATTGTTATGATTAGCCTAACTTGCAATGTTTTTATTCACATTAACTTTCACTTTCATTGTACAGAAAGACAGCAAAGAACATTTTCACTGACAGTCTAGTTCAAGCGCTCTCAAAAACTCCCATTAAAAGCACTGAAGCGGTTTACACTATGAAATATCTTACGGATTCGTACAGTCATTTGCACTTTGTTGTTTCCGACTAGAGAATTCGCCAGAAAAAGGTATTCAGTCAGTGAGCGAGTGGAAAAAAACTGGCATTTTAGCGAGGACTCATCTGAACACCTCTGATTGGTCATTGCATTCATAAGCTCAACAGCATCGTGTGTGATTGGTTAATGCCAGTGCTGTATAAACGCGTCTGTCTCTGGCTCCGCGCCAGCCAGCAAACAAACTCAGATTTGAATTTAGCAGCTAATGATATGACGCACTGAACGTTCTAATCACGCCGGTGTGATTGTATTAAACATAGAAAATATGAATCGGCTATTTTCGTCCTTTGGAAGCTGCATTCAAAATTTACTTGCCTCAAATCTGATGGGGCACGTGCCCCCTCACTTTGAATGGGCATGACGCCTCTGGTTATATGTATATGTAACACTCTGATCCTGTGAGGCATGACTTTTTTTTTTTTTTAAGCTTTATTTAGGAGTTTTAGGACAATAATACAAAGAAAACAAAAAGCAAAAGACAAAAGCAACTTAATACAATAAAAGAAATTACAACTAAAACAAGTAATCAAAAGTGTGGCTTAGCAAAACAACTAAAGTGCACAATCTGTATAATACAATAAAATGTAATTGAAGGGGAGGAAAAAAAAATAAATAAAATGCAGGAACAAAGACTCAGTCTACGTCCGACAATAAAACATGTTCCGTGACATATTGCTTAAAAGGGTCCCAAGCTTTATTAAACTGGTAAGATGAACCTCTTATAGAATGTTTGATTTTTTCCAACTTTAGGAAAAAGAGGACATCACGAATCCATTGTGTTGGGGTTGGAGGCCTCTGATCCTTCCACTTCAGCAATTAATCGTTTGGCTAAGAGCATGATAAAAGCTATACAATCAGATTGTGTCTTTGTAAGATTATATGATACAGGAGTAATTCCAAAAATGGCTATCAGCGGGCAAGGTGAAATCGGTCTACCCAAGAAACCAGAGACAGTCTCAAAAACAGTGACCCAGAAGCCCCTAAGCTTTATACAGGACCAAAACATATGTGCATGAGATGCTGGGGTAAAACTACAGCGATCACAAGCAGGATCTATATGCTGAAAGTGCTTAGAGAGTTTCAGCTTTGTCCAGTGTACACGGTGAACAATTTTGCACTGCATAAGATTTGTGTATTCTGTATAGGACTGATTCCCATTCCTCATCCGAAAAAAACATTTTTAAATAGTCTTCCCACCAAACTTTTATTTGTGAAAGGGATGTATAGACTGGGGTCAATTTTACAATACAGTGTTGATATAATGCCCTTCCATCATGGTGGATTCTCCAATAAATGATCAAATGGAGAGCAGGGAGGCGGAGCGGGAAACTGAGGGAACATTTTACGCACAAAATCGCGAATTTGGAGATAACGGAAAAAATTATTCTTTGGAATATTAAACTGCTCACACATCTGCTGAAATGAGCAGAAAGCCCCCTCATAGTACAAATCATTAATTTCCCTAATGCCTTTAGCATGCCAAGATGTAAACGACTTATCAATTATTGAGGGGTTAAAGACATGATTAGAATGAACAGGGGATTTAGGGGACATAGTTTGCCAGCCAAAATGACGTCTCACCTGTTTCCAGATTTTAAGCGTAGATCTTACAAGTAGGTTTTTAGTAAATTTGTTGCAGGGAAAGGAAAGAGGAGCGTAAACTAAAGCTGCTAGGGAAGAAGGCAAGCATGAGGCGGACTCAATTGCTACCCATGACAGGGCATCAGCTCCAGGATCTTCATAGAGCCAGTGCAGCATAGGACGAATATTTGAAGCCCAATAATAACATTGAAAATTAGGCAAAGACATTCCACCCAATGGTTTAGGACGTTGTAGAAGACTTTTACTCATTCTAGCAGGTTTGCCATTCCATATAAATGAGGTGAGAGCGCTATCCAGCCTACGAAAAAATGAACTAGGAATAAACACTGGGATACACTGGAACAGATAGGTAAACTTAGGCAGCACATTCATTTTGACAGAATTTATTCGACCTGCGACTGATAAAGAAAGCGGGGCCCAGCGCTTTAAGTCCTGTTCAACTCACTCCAATAAACGGGGGAGAGCCTTCCGAACATATCAAATTTTGAGAACATGAGGAAAGGATTCAGATGGGTCGGAAATATATAAGAGCAAGTCGTCCGCGTACAGAGAGACTTTATGCTCTCGTCCTCCTCTGATTATACCAGCTATTTTTGAGTTTTGACGCAAAGCAATGGCCAAAGGTTCTATTGCTACTGCAAAAAAGAGGCGAGAGGGGGCACCCCTGTCTTGTACCTCGATTAATCTGAAAATATGCAGAGGAAATATTGTTGGTCCGAACAGAGGCAAGTGGGGCTTTATATAATAACTTGATCAAAGATATAAAACTCGGTCCAAAACCAAACATCTGAAGAGTGTGAAATAAGTAATCCCACTCCACCCTGTCAAATGCCTTCTCTGCATCGACTGAGATCAAAACTTCAGGTACAGACGAAGACACGGGATGATAGAGAATGTTGAATAACCCGTCTGACATTAAAGAATGAGAGTCTATTTTTAATGAAGCCAGTTTGGTCAGTGGAAATTAAACTAGGAATAATTGTTTCCAATCGCAAAGCAAGAATTTTGGCTAAACTTTTTACATCAACATTTAAAAGAGATATTGGGCGATATGAACTA